CTGGAACCCCTGCCCTGCCACCCTATTTCTCTCAGGCCACAGTGAGCCCTTACCTCCTACTTCCTGGCCTAGAAATAAACTCAATTATTTTCCTGAGCTGGCAGATAAGTAAACAAATGAATGAGTCAACAAGAATCCAAACCCTCAAGGCCCAGGGGGACGCGCCATGATGACAGCCAGGAGTGTGGGAAGCTCGTGGCTGATGACAAGTTCTCATGGGTAATTCATGTTTACCTTCAAGACAGAGCCGTGGGGCATTATGATCAGTGCCACTTGCAGAGGAGGAGAAGGAGGGCTTGTCGAGGTTACCAGAGCTGTGCCTGCCCCTCCTCCACGGCTCTTCTTCCCGATATCAGAGGCCGGGGCTGGGGTTCCCAAGTGACACCCAGGTGGGGACAACCAGTCTGTGCCATCTCAGACCGGTGTGTATGAATGGAGCGGAGCTGGGGACACTGGACACTGTGCACCCAAGGGTGCAGTCCCTGGCCAGCTTGGGACTCAGGGCAGGCCATCCTGTGTGGATCCTGAGGATCCCTTCATGGAACCTCACCAAAATCTGTTTTCTTGGGCACAAGTGCCTTGGCTTTTCTTATCCTTTGTCTTCTCCTAGTTAGAGTGGTCCTTCTTTTGGAGGGGGGACTGGTTTTGGATTTTTGAGACAACATCTCACTATGTAGTCCAGGCTGAATTTGAACTCACTACGTTGCTCAGGCTGGTCTACAACTTGCAGCAATCCTCCTGCCTCAGCCTCCTAAGGGCTGGGAATAGAGATATGCACTTCTGGCTACTGTTGGCACTGCAAAGTTAAGAACTTCTTTGGGCAGTGCCCTTACCAGCCCCTACTGAGGCAGCCTGCCTGGGAAGCCTGTAACTATAGCTGAGAACACTTCAACGATTGAGCAATCATCATCTCTCCAAAGTCTTTGTCAATAGGAAAGCAACTGGCAGCCAGGTCTTCTGTTTAAATTCTGGGCCTGCCTATGAGGAAAAGACTTCTGTTCGCTCATGGCAATATAGAGGGAAAAATGCCCTTTAAAAGACACCCTAAGACACAGGATTGCTGTGTGGTGACATTCCTGTAATCCTAGCTGCTTGGGAGGCTGAGGCAGGAGGATGGCAAATTCAAGGACAGCCTGGGCAACTTAGCAAGATGCTGTTTTAAAATTTAAAATTTAAAATCAGTATGAGGCGCATGTAAGTCCTCATGAGACCTAAGGCAGAAGGACTGTTGTGAGTTTTCTTACACAAACAAACAAAAAACACTGTGGCCTGGATGGAATTCAGTGTTTCAGCCTCTCTTTCTCTCAGCCTCCCTACTGGGACTCCATCCCCGAAGTGAGGGTGGGCGTGGCTCATACCAACCCCGGTAGATGTTGGAGCCGGAGGTCACAGGTCATCTGTTCTTGCCCAGCTTCGGTACCTGGATCGGGGGAAGTGATGCCAAGATCAGCAGAGACCGGCAGCCCTGCAGCTGCAGACTTGGCCTCTGCCCCCGCAGACCAGGGTTGTGTCTGCCATGCCTGCTGTTGTGAGACCATCCACGCTGGCTGATCCTGCGACATTGCACACAGCTGGCTCAGAGTCAGCGGCTGAAGACTTTCCGCTGTGGGGGTGCCTGGAGTCCTTGCCACTAGGGCAGGAACCCCAAAGACATCAGGACTCCAAGAGCCTTCCAGGGATTGGCCATGCTGAAGACACTTATGGGGACCCGGCAGAGAGCTCTGTTTGTGTAGCAAGGACACTGCTTACATCTAATGATTGATTGATTATCAGTTTTTTTTTTTTTTTTTGAAACAGGGCCTCATTGTCTAGTCCAGACTGACTTTCACTATGACATTCACTATGTAGTCCAAGCTGGTTTAAACTCAGCATGCTTCTTCTTCCTGACTCAGCCTCCAGGTGCTGAAATTACAGGGACCACACTCACTGATTTTGGGAAGCCCAGGGACAGACAGATGGAGATCGCCTCCCAACAATTTTAATACAACTGATAGGTACAACCATGCTTGGCATCCCTGCAGAGAAATGGGGAATCCTTCAGTGAATTTATTTTAAATTTAAATCAAGAAATTTCTCAGAATCTTGTGGGACCGAGCTGACATCTAACCTTCCGGTGGGGTCGAGGAGTCGAGAGTGAGGCTTTGCAAGAAACCCAGGCAGTGTCCTTTCCTGGGGATCTACCGTGCAGACTGTATCTTAGCCACACGGTCATTATTGATGGAAAAAGCAGAAAGCAACCAAAACACACTATGGATTCACTTCCCTTACTGTTCATTTGTGTTTACAATAAATCACCTTGCAAGCCCTTGACTCAGAGCACAGGAGAGAAGTGTGTTGGTTACGGAGAGGCACAGACCCAGGTTCAAACCCAGGCTCTGCCTCCTGCTCACTGTACTGTCCCTGACCGTTGGTGGAACTTCTCAAATCTAGGTTTCCTCAAATCTAAAACAGCACCTCATTCACACAGCCGTGGGAGGCCTGGATAATATAACACCCACACGAAACTGGCATGGGAAGGGTGTTTTCATTTGTTTTCTCCCTGACTGAACAGAATGATCGACATATTTGAAATCCATTACTTAATTAAATAATCCATTATTTAATTACAGAGTCTGCACTTCGAGGTCCTCATGTCTAGAAGGGCTCAGAGCGCCATTTCAGAAAGCAGGGAGGGAAATAATACGCTTCTTGTTCAGCGATGCTTTATGTGCTTTATTAACACCTAGTCCACCAGGGACACCTGGGGACAGTGCCAGCCTCCATGCACTCTCTTTTAACTTTTAATTCTTTCTCTATTCCTTCTTCCTCCTTTCTGGAGCTTTCTCACTGCTCTGAAGCCTGGAACTTTCCCGCCCTGCCTCCCTGAATGTTAAGCTCCTAGCTACTCAAAAGGAGCCTGTGCTCCAGGGAGGAAGGCACAAGTGACAGACATCAGTGCCCTGAGATGAGAGACCTGTTTCTGCGGGCATGGAGCCTGCAACCCCTGCAGGAGCTGGAAAGTCCTTGGACTCAGTGTCTGGCACTTCCTGTCTTCAAGTTTCTATGCAGACTTAGAAACTTGTCACATTTTTGGAAGGATGCTGGCCAGACTTCTTCCCTTCTGGGAAATGTGCTTCACCTATTTCAAGAATGTCCTTGCTGGGTGTGGTGGTACATGCCTATAATCCCAGCACTCAGGAGGCTGAGGCAAAAGGATCACCTTGAGTTCAAAGCCAGCCTGGGCTATATAGTGAGGTCCAGGCTAGCCTGAACTACATAGCGGAACCCTCTCTCAAAAAACCAAAAGAAAAAAAACCTTCAATTTCCTGTTTCTGAGGCTGCATAAGGTGTTTCATGTCTTCATCTGGGCATGAGCAAGAGGAAACACGTCTATCCCTGAAGAAGTTTTTGCCCCTGGCCAAACCCTCTTTTCTCACCTCAGAAAGTCAGGGTAATGACCGCCCAGTGGCTACTCCCCAGATTTGTACTGCTTTTCCAGAGCAGGGACCTGGTCTGTGTCAGGAACCAGGAGCAAGGGGCCAAGTGCAACCCTCAAGGTCACCTGATGTGACAGAGTAGATCATGTGACACATAGTTTGAGGATCATGTGACACTGGAGTGGAGAAACGCTACATTTCAGGCAAACCACCAGCCCAGGAATAAGAGCTGTTTGTTGTGCACTAGCAAAAAGAGCTTTGTCATCCTGTGCTATGCTTGTCACCCTAGTAACTCCCTTTGCAAACACAGCTGTTTTTTGCAGCTGGCCACACTGGAGCACCAACCACATCGTTATAAATTAACGGAAGTGCCACCATACTGTTCTGTATGCATCCTCAACCTAGTAACCTGTTTGCTGTGTCAACCTTTGTTCCCTTTGTGAGAGACAAATGTTTCTGGAATTAGCAGACCAAGGGCTGTGAATTCCTGTAAGGAAGGAAAGGGCTAACCACTGACTGCAAAACGTCCCTGACCTCAAGCAAAGGGGAACAAAGGCCTTCCTCATTCCTGCCAGCTTATGTACTTTGCAGTTTATGTGCTATAAAAGTCTGTCAAAATTCTAACCTAGTTACACAGCTTTTCAAACTCCATCTGCACTGTGTCACTGGTACCAGCTTAAATAAAGTGCTCTTTTTTCTTTTTAAAAGACATCTTGCCCTTTTTTGGACAACAACTCAGGGCTCATTTTTGGGATACAACATTGTTTACTTATCTTTTTAAGGCTAATCTTAGTGTTACTGGATGGAGAGTCTCTTGGGGCTTTTTTCCAGGTTCCTAGGGTCCCCACCAGAGAACTGGACAAGACACACAGAAAAGGGAATAAAAGTACACATTTATTGAAGGCAGAAGAAAAGCATGCCCTGCAGAGTGAGAGTAAACTCACAAAAAAGTGCACAACATCGCCTAGGATAATGGAAAGGCAAACGATCCAAAATTCCTCATTTGTCTTTCTTTTATGTAAATGAGGCATTGGGGCTGTGGAGCTATCCACTTAAGATCAAACCATACATAACTGTCCTATCAAAAAACTCATTTGGCTTCATGTTACATGTAAATGAAGGATCAGAAACAGTGTCTTCTGATTGACTCTGCCTACATGCAAATGAAGGATTGAAAAGAGCATCTTCTGATTGGTCTAGTGACCTGCATCAGATTTAAAGGAAGGACTGAAAGTAACTAGTTTCTGATTGGTCCAAAATAGCACATTTCTGATTGGCTCTGTGTACAGTGATGATGGCTTACTGTACTGGGAGTGTCCCTTGCCTTGTCCTATCTTATTAGCAAAACTTTTGGTATCCACAATCAGCCTGCCAAACAGAACCTCCAGTGCAACCTGGGGGTTCATTAGGCTAATTAATTACTTGTGGTTAGTAAACATGTTAAAGTCCTTTCATTAAAGGAGCCACCTAAGTCCAAAGTACTATTATAATCAGGCCTAATGAGGTCAGTGGGTTTAAAGAGAGGGCTTTAAATCATATATAAAGCTCCCCTACCACAGTTTGGCACAGGAGGAGGTCCAGAGGAGACAGGTGAGTCTGCTCACTGGCTCCGTTGGAGGACCTGACACTCTTGTGCCATAGGACAAAGGCCACCACTCTGTAAATCTCTTTCTCTGCATCTTGACCCACAGGTTGAGCTGCAGAAGACCTTCCCAAAGGGGGCGGGGGACATCTTCTCTGGGAGGGTGCAGACAGGTAAGTGCTGGCTTTGTAAGCCTTATAAGCTGTCTTTTGAATGAAACCAAGAATTAAGAGCTTTATTTAAAATACACTCTCTTAAGTGTGTGTAGGTAACATTGATAAGATATGGGAAGGGATGAATTGGAGTTGAAATGGATTGGAAGTTTACACTTTGACCTGGAAGATAGGCAAGCAATGTTCAGAAACCAAGTTTTGAAATTAACAAGTTTCTATTTAAAATCAGAACAGGTCCCCTAGGATAAGTCTCACCACCATGCTGCCCTCCATCCTGCTTGTGGGACTTGTTGCTCTCATCGGTGAGTCATTCATGGCATTTGCCACTGATCAGAGGGTGTCAATATAATAAAGCAGCGATTCCATGCAATGGAAGAATGGGCCCTTCTACCGTGTTGGGCTGTGCAGAATGGGCCCCGTGCCATATTGCTTATTACTATAAATAAGAGTGTTCTGCTCACAAGCAGATGATGGTGTGAGTGGAAATTTCTAACAGTAGCAATTGGTCTCCTTACTTCCTGTCTGACAGTGCAGCTGCTGAGTTTTGAAATTTTATCCCATACAAGGGTTGGTTGAAGTTTCATATACAGTTGGATGCTTTGTTTAAACCAGAGATCTAGGGACCAGTGTCTTTGAGGCAAGATCACAAAGAGAAAAATCATCAGTGCCAGACCGTAGATAAGAGTTAGATGGATTTATAGAGGAAAATGCCCACTAATCGTGGGGGGTGTTGCTAAGAGGGCCACACAGGCATGGCTTTCCAGGCAGGCTGTGGAGTTGAAGAATGCTGGGCGACTTCCTGTGATAAGGGAAGAGCAGTGATGTCAGTAAAGAGCACAGAGGTAGAGACACATAGAAAGCTTTTGGGACAGCGAGCAGGTCACTGTGACCAGGTGGGGGGGGGTGTCTCTAAGGTGAGTGCTGGATGGGTGTAGTGGGGGTTTGCATCTCTAATCCCAGCACTCAGGAGGCTGAGGCAGGAAGATCACCACAAGTTGGAGGCCAGCCTGGGCTACACAGTGAGTTCAAGACTAGCCTGAACTGCATAACAAGACCCTGTTTCAAGAAAGAAAGAAAGAAAGAAAGAAAGAAAGAAAGAAAGAAAGAAAGAAAGAAAGAAAGAAAGAAAAACAAAAGAGCCATTGTAAGCAATGGTTTATACAGTGATGACTGGGAAGAAAATGCTTCTTAAATGTTGTGACTTCGGAGAAGAGAAGCCACCCAAAGCAATAATATCTAGTTAGTCTGATCAAAAGCAGGGCTAGCTTTATGTTTTTACTCATTTCTAATTGCCAGGTAGTAGCAGAGCTGGCCTGCCAGAGGATTAATTATGAGTTTCTGGACCAGCTGTGTACTCCCGAAGGTGACTCGAATTGTAAAAGGGCTTATCACATTAAGTACAGTGTAAACACCAGGAAGCAGCTGTGAACACTGTATTGTTTTCTTTACTTTTGTTTTCTCAGTGCTGGGGTCGAATCCAGGGTCTTGAGCTAGGCAAGTGCTCACCACAGAGCCAGAGCCGCACCCTCGGCCTTATGCTGAATTATTTGGGGCTGAGGGTGCTTTAGGAAGGAGTGTTCCCGTACAGGACTTACACAGTTGTCCCTCTCCCCACTGTATATGTAAGCGGTTGAATTCTTGGAAACAGAACCTGCAGAGAAGCAGGGCTGAGCGCACTTCCTATCCACAGTGCGGGTCCACGGGGAGGCTGCCTGTGTGATGGTTTCTGACCCGTGACCTCGTGGAAGCCCCAGTTCTCTGAGGACGTAGAGGCTTTGAGGGTTTCTGCTGCTCTTCTCTAGGCAGACTTTCTCAGCATCCCTAGTTTGCCCAGTAGCTTCATTGTTTAACTTTCTGATCCATTCACAATCTTTCTTTCTTTCTTTGTTCTTCTTTCATTTGTTTATTTTTGCTTAATTGTGGATGAGAGAGAGCAGGTTGGGTCTATATGTTTTGATGAGTTTTGCTTTAAAAAAAAAAAAAAAGAGTTACAAGGGCTGGGGATTTAGCTCAGTGGCAAGTGCCTGCCTGGCAAGTGCAAGGTTGTCAGTTTGATCTCCTATACCAAAAAAAAAAAAAGTTACATACTTCTAAATCTTTGGTTTTTAATTTGTAGAGTTAACTTTTTTTGTACAGTAAATATTACAGAGAAAAATTCCATTTGGGTCCCCCCCCCAAGTTTTGGGTTTTAAAACATTTTAAGATAATTTTTATTAGCGCATGTTTGTAGCATGCAGTGATCACCTTCATCCTGAGGAGTGATCACATGTACATGACACACCTTAATTATTTTTACCTCCGTTTATCATGTGCCTACTTCTAAAACATGCAGTCTGGTTATACCGACAAGCTCATCGGAGCTATGATATGGTAGGTAGGTCAGTTCTATTAGGAAAAACAGTTTATGTTATCAAGTAAGAAAATCTTCCTTCCTTCCTTCTTTCCTTCCTTCCTTGCTTGCTTCCTTCTTTCCTTTTCTGTGGCACTGGGGAGCAGAGAATTGCTCTCAAGGCCTCAAGCAGGTTGGGTAAGTGCTCTGCCACTGAGCTGCTCTCCCAGGGCTGGTAATATTTTTCACATCCAATATTTTAATAAAGTTAGTTTCTGGTAATAAATGTTGGAGACAAGTATGATGGTATATGCCTGTGATTCCAGCCCTCAGGAAGTTGAGGCAGGAGGATCCATCGCTGTGGGTTCAAGGCTAATGTGGGCTCCACAGTCAGTTCAAGGCCAGTGAGACCCCGTCTCAAAAAAAGACTGCAGCAAATATATCTGCGACCAACGTGAATTGATTTTCATAACGCTTTGTGTGGTGCTTTAGAATTAAAACACAGCACAACAACAGGAGCTTGGAGAGGGTGGGCGGGAGGCACTGGCTGGACGGAAGAGCCACGAGCGGTGGGAGGCACTTGAGAATGATCAGGTCTGTGGCCTTGGCCTTCATGGGTTTTGCTTGTTTGTAGTTTTTTTAATAGCAGCTCAAGCAATATTTTCTCACAGGCTCATGAGAATTAACCCTTCTGCTCCCAGGCAAGAGCAGGAGCTCCTACCCTTTCCCTCATGCCCTGCGGCCTCATCTGCACCCCCGCCTGTACCACGGCTGCTACGGGGACATCATGACCATGGAGACCGCCGGGGTGCGCTGTGACATCAGCAATCTGCTCACCTGCGGTGAGTGGGGAACAGCGAAGGTTGGGCCTCCGCCTGCCATCAGCTCCTTTCTTAGCAAGTAACTGAATTATGGAAGATACCATCGCTGTCATCGTAACGATGGCCAGTGGGTGGCCCCTGTCTGTAACTCCAGCACCTTGGGAAGCTGAGGCAGGAAGGATCTTGAGTTTGAACTCAGCCTGGGAAACTCAGCAGTTTAACAAGACCTGATCTCAAAAAACCAAAGCTACAAATGGGTCTGGGGATGTAGCTCAGTGGTTTGTTACCGGGCTTTGGGGGCTGGAGTCTCCTCCTTCTTGAGGTAATTTCTAGGTTCTTTGTGTCATGAATAAGAATGGAATGAAAGAAGCATAAAGGGTGGCAAAGTCTCACATTTATTAAAGTTGGGAAAAGACAAGCGCTGCAGAGTGAGTTTGGGGCAAGTAAAAGTAGGGGAAAAAAGGGGGGGGATGCACCCGAGGGCGGGGTATCGTGAAGAGACAGGACGGCAACAGCGTAATGGCACATATTCCTCAGGAGAGGGTCCCATCCAGGTCCTTCTATCCGGCACCTGCTGGAGTCCCCGCAGGGCTTTAGAACTGTTTGCTCCACATCCTGGGTTACTACGTCACGCCTACTTTGTAGTTAGTTTCAGCCCCAGCCCACCTGCCTGCCTCAATCCCCAGAAGTATCCTGTTCAGCCTAACAAATCACTTCATTTCCCCCCATCCTTTTGTTTTTCTTTTTTCTTCCTTTCTTTTTTTGGGGGGTGGGTACTGGGGATTGAACTCATAACCTCATGTTTGCCAGGCAGGCACCTATGCCCTGAGCTAAATCCCCAGCTCTTTGCTTTGCATTTTTGAGACAAAATATGTAGCCCAAGCTGGCCTCAATCTCACTGGGATCCTCCTGCCTCAGCCTCCTGAGTGCTGTGATTACAGGCTTGCGCCATCACGTCCAGTGATTTGAATGTTGTAAGGAGGCCTCCTGTACCCTGTACTTCTGCTTCTTGGTCACCCTGGTCCAAAGGCAAGTCACTCAGAGCTGGAAGTGTTCCCAGTGACAGAGCTCTGGGGTCACACGCACTGCGCTCCCTACCCTGGACAGATCAGAGCCCTGAGGCTCAGCAGGAAGGACAGGCCTCCCTGGCACAGAGCTAGGCACTGGCACAGCAAGGTTACAATTTGGCCTGGTGGCCTAGAGCCATCCCTAAGCACAAAGAGGAAGTAGAAACAGCAGAAATGGCACCTGCCAGGACCTGTCTGAGACCTGTCTGGTTTCTATAGTCAGGGCTGCGAAGGGCTTCTCGGGATGGGTGTTCAGGCCGTGGGCAGAGGTCAGGGCTGAGGTTAGCTTAGTAAATTTTTAAAAAGGGGCTCCATCAGAGCTGGGCGTGGTGCCACATGCCATAATCTCAGTGTTTGGGAGGCTGAGGCAGGAGGATAACTGTGAGATGGAGGCCAGCCTGGGTTACATAGTGAGTTCAAGGCCAGCCTGGAATACATACTGTGAGACCCTGTCTCAAAAAACCAGGAATCCAAAAAAGAAAGAAAAGAAAAGAAAAAAGAAAAAGAGTCTCTTCCAGAGTGGGAAGCAGTCTTTCTTCTGTCTCCTTAGGGATCCGCGGCTCTGAAATGTTTGCCGACATGGACCTGCGCTCCATAAGGCCTTACCAGACCCTCATCAAAGAAGTGGGACAGAAGTACTGCGTGGACCCTGCCCTCATCGCAGCTGTCATCTCCAGAGAGAGCCACGGGGGCACCGCCCTGCAGCGCGGCTGGGACAGCAGGGGACTGAAGTTTGGCCTGATGCAGGTATTTGAGCTTCGTCCTCCCTTCCGGAAGCTCAGCCCCAGCTGCAGGGTTGCCAGACCGGGCTGAGAAGGGCTTCCCTATCTTCACCAGGGATTTCCGTGACAAGTCTGATGCTCATGACAGGGCTGTCAATTTCTTGATCTTTTCTAAAATCTTCTAGATAGCTGGGCAGGGTGGCTACACCTGTCATCCCAGCACTCTGGGAGGCTGAGGTGGGAGGATGCCAAGTTAGAGCCCAGCTTGAGTCAGTTAGGGAATTAGTGAGACCCTATCTCAAAATAAAAAATAATAAACAGGCTTTGGATATAGCTCATGAAAGACCCTGCACTGAATCCTCTGTACTTAAAAAAACAAACAACAAAAAAAGTGTTTTGTAGGAACCATAGCTACAATTCTGCAGTAAGTCATATGCAGTATACTTCAACTGAGAGAATTTTATAGAAAGCACTATTATTACAGGCGCTTCTTGAGGATCCTGAAGTAGTAAATTTAATCTGTGTGAACTGAAACAACACAATCAGGCCCTTTGGGGACTGACTTTATCCTTTATATAAACTGGTGAAAAGGATTCAAATTATCTGGGTATTTGTTTTTAGGATCTATTTAACTTGTGTCTAGAAGCCCAGACTTCAGGCTTATGAGTTAGAAACTAATTATTTGAATTATTCAGAATTTTTTTTTTACTGCAGATATATAGATGTAGGTTGCTAACTGTTCCGCAGCCACTTTTGCTCCTCCAGCTCCTCCTCGCCCTCTTCCTCCTCTTGAATATTAGCCTGCTCAGCTAAAACTCCCCACCTCTGCTTCTCCCGAGCCTTCCTGTGTTTCTCTTTCTTCCCTGTGGACTTTTGGGAGACAAAGGGAAGGTGCCCAGGGCAGTGTCTGTGAGCTGGAGCCTGGCCGGGAAATGCGAAACCGCAGAGAGATATGCTTCCTCGTTCAGATGCTGACGTTACTGTCTGGATTTTTCAGGTGGATAAAAGGTTTCAACCCACTGGTGCCTGGGACAGCAAAGAACACCTTTCACAGGCTGTGGATATCCTAGCAGAAAACATTAAAGCGATGCGGAGGAAGTTTCCCACGTGGAGTGTGGATCAACACCTCAAAGGTAGGCATGCATGTGGTGGTTTGTTAAGAGCGGATGTGCTCGGAGCCTTGCTGGCTGGTCCAGCCGGGCAGCGGTGGGCTGAGGAGCAGAAGCAGCACGGTTCCCCTTTGCCAACCTCCTCAACCTTTCTGCAGGGTGCTGGGCTCCTGTAACATCTTCTGTCCATTACTAAGCAATGCCTTGAGCACGAATGCCATGATCCAGGAGGATGTTTACCTTCTTCTCAGAGGTTTGCCCAGATGCCCAGATGCAAGGAGACGCTGGTCGTTTCTTTCCCAAAGTGTCTGAGTGAGATTTCACCCTGTGAGCATTCTCAGTGCCCCGGGTGCCCTGAAAAACTCCACATGACAATCTCAGCTTGGCAGAACGCAGGTCCCCTCCAGCCCTCATCTCTCACACGGGAGGGACTTGATAGCTTCCCACTCTGATGCTCTTTTCCTGCACGCCTCTGGTGACATCATGAATGTACTGGCAGCCGGAAGATGAGATGCTTTCTTAGGCTCCCTCCACCCCATGGCACCAGCTCCTTTGCACCCCCACCCCACCCCCACAGACACAGCGTGTGCAGGTGGTGCCTTCTCTCCCTCCGGTTCCCAGTCTGCACTCAGCCCTTTCCCCTCTTCAGTTTTATTTTCTCTTCCCACCCCCTTTCCATGTTCTCCATCTCTTGCTCTCCCATCCATTTGAAAAATATCTCCTCACTTCCTATTTATCCATCTTCTGTCTGTGAGGGGGTCTTTTCCTTTGCCATATTTTATTTGTTAAAGGTACGCTTGTTGAATGAATGAATGAATGAATGAATGAATGAATGAATGAATGAATACACAGGTGAATTCTTGGATAAATGTTACCATCTCAGACTGCAGATTTGCTGCACATCTGGTTCTGCCAACTCTTGACTATATAAAAAGCAAAACTGACTATTGAAATGGGAAAAACAAACAGTTAAAGAGATAAAAACAAACAAACTGCATCCTTGCTAGTGACCCTCGGGTATCACATCCTTTCAGGGGGAGGGGAGGATGACGTCTGAGCTGGGACCGCTCCCATCTCATTTCTGCAGCAGTTCCTGTTGGAGTCTAAACCCTGTGCTTCCTTCCAGGTGGCCTATCTGCCTTTAAGTCAGGAGCCGAAGCCATTGCTACCCTGGAAGACATCGACTCCGACTATGCTGATGATGTGGTTGCCCGAGCTCGATTCTACAGGTCCCACGGCTTCTAGGCGAAGCCTCATCGGAGGTTACCCAGGTGGTTTCCTGGTGACAGTTTGCTTCGAATGTGTTGCACCCAACACTGGTAAAGACCAGGATGGAAATAATGAAAGAAAATTCCCAATATTCTTAATGAAAATAACTGTTAGGAAAAAAAATGCCCACCTAGACCCTCCCTACCAGATTTACTCCTGAGAAGCGAAGTCTGACCTGCATCTCTTTCCCAGCATCTGCTAAACTACTAGGGCTTTGCTTATACAACCTCCTGGCTCCTCAGCCAGTTCAACCACAGGCACGGGAGGAGGAGCCACAGATGGAATTCCAGCCCCATCAATACTGAGCACTGACAGAGTGACTTTCAAAGGACAGACACTGAATCCTTCAGGCCACACCCACCTCCCATGTCTCCTCTTCTTTATGGAAGACCCACACACTGGCTGCTTCTGTACTCACTGCCAAAAACTTCCTTTCTCGGAGGTCTGCTGCCTGGAAGACAGGGCTGCAGAAAAGCACATGGCATCCGGATTAATTAAGCCACAAGCAAAAAGTGGACACTCCTGGAAATTTTAAGTAATCAGATTACTAGGAGTCTCACAGAACTGACCAAGGACGTGAAGCAAATCAGGTAACTCTAGCCAGCTGTGATGCTGCATGCTGTAATCCCAATGCTCAGGAGGCTGAGGCAGGATTGTCACACGTTCAAGGCCAGTCTGGATTACACTCGTGAGTTCAACACCAGCCTAAATTATATAGTGAGGTAGGGAAATGAAAGAAAGTACCAAAAGAATGAAAGAGAGGGAAATGAAAAAGAAAAGAAACCAGATGACTTGGGGCTGAGGGACAGAGATCAGTTAGCCAGATTTTGTAGCTCAAAGTAGCACCCTCATCGCACCAATGATCTCCAAAGACTGCCCTCCCCATCTATCACACCCATGGTCTCAGAGAAAGACTGGTTGGTTTGATTTAGGTCAAACCCGTTGGCTACTCTGCTCTTTGGTCTATCCCAGACCATCAGTGATGGAGACAGAAAATCCTCTGGGAGGAAATGAGTGTCATTTATGTCTCTTACTTGCATAGTCAGGCGTATACACAATATGCTGGAGTATGAGGGTCACCGAGTCCCTGCCATTGTGCCCCCGCTGGGCTTTTAGCTTTCTTCCGTGGGTGTTTCTTCCCGTCACTTTCTGAGAAGGAATCCAGCTCATAGGCACCTGCCTGGGAGCCACCTTGGGGAAGCAGAGCCAAGCCTTCTTTGCACAGCGACCTCTCACCCTCTCCCGATGACCTGACCCTTGCCTTGGGAAGAGCCAGTGGCCAGCTGGTGTGACAGCCTGCAACATATGCATCTTTCGTGGTCGGCAGAAGCCCAGGCTGAATTAGCTTTAAACACTTCTGAGTTTCATTCCTGCACGTGGGCAAGGAAGGACATTCTTTAGATGTTTGCTTTGCTCACCAATGATTTCCTCACGAGCATTCACCGCCACCACATCACCAGTCCCTTTGATGTTGCTATTACAAGAATAAAGTACATCCAGGCAGGCAATTGTCAAAAAATATGAAAAAAAAACCAAACCCTAGTGAACTGGTTTAACCCTTGAACGTACTCTCCTGTTCTCTTTATGCCAGAAGAATCCTGAATAGACTCCATATTCAGGGTGTCTTACTTTGCTTGCTCCAGATTCAGGCTCTGAGACAGGGATTCGAAGACAGGTAGTTAATCTTAGAGGTACAGGGAACCCAGTGCACAGTGGCTTGGGTTACAGGGAAGAAGAGGCTAATAAAATATGCCAATAGTGGGCATCAGAGCTCAACCTTCCAGGAAAGTTAAAAGGATTGGTGCAAAACACATACCTCAGAACTACCCTGTGCAAGAACAGGAGCCAACCTGCCCCGGGTGTGTGGGATCTGCGATTCTTCACTAATGGGATCTAGCAGGCATGTAGGCAGCACAGATCTGTGTTTCCAAGATCAAGAGGCCATGGACACAGAGATGCACATCAGCTGAGGATTCCGAGAGGTCCAAGGAAATGAGAGGCAACAGACAGCATCTGCTAGCACCCTAGCAACACGAGGGTTGGGTGCACTTGGAGGTTGGGACCATCCCCACAACTCTGCTTGCTGTTAAGCATGATTTCATAATGTGGTGCGATCATCAGAAAATCACACGTGAGCCTCCCGTGCCTTGGTTCCTTGCCAAGATCCTTAGCGATTTATTACAACGACCCATTTGATAGAATAGAATGGTCCCAGTCTGCGTTCTGTTCCTCATCTCTAAGTCAGCAGCTGATTCCCAGGAACTTAGTGAGCACAATGTTAAAGATGTAAGGCTCAGGGCTGGGGATGTAGCTCAGCGGCACAGTGCTCGTCTGGCAAGCATGAGGTCTTTAGCTCAGTTCTGGGTACCAAAAACAAGATGCTAGACTCACTGTGCCCCCATTAAATATTCTGAATGCTCTAGCCATCCTCAATCTTCTTTATCATTTATGGCTATATGCGCCTCAGGTAGGATGAACGATTCCATAGCTATGCCTCACTCTAGAAAATATCACTTCTTTTAATTGTGCGAAAGTAGACTCTTCCTGGAGAATGTTTTGGAAGAGCAGACTCTTCCAGTTTATGTTTCTGGCCCCTTTATCAAAGGTAAAATAGTTGAGTGTCTATTTTTGAGTACTACAATGCTGGTTTTTTTTTTAATTACAGTATCTTTGTAAAATTGGTGTTGGGAAAATTAACTGTTCATATGCAGAGATTGAATTTAGACCCATATCTCTCACCATGTACTAATCTAAAATCAAAATGGATCAAAGAACTAAATGTTAAAACAGATAATTTATTGGAAGACAAAATAGGTAAAACTCTTATTTTTGTTTTGTTTTGTCTTGTTTTGAAACAGGTCTCACTATATAGTTCAAGCTTGCTTTGAACTCATGGTTATCCTTCTGCCTCAGCTTCCTCAGGGCTGGGATTACAGGCGTGTGCTGCCTTGCCTGCAAAATACATAAAACTCTTGAAATCTTAAGCATAGGCAAGGATTTTCTGAATAGAACCCTGGTTGCACTGGAAATGGTTCTGAGAATCAATAAATGGAATCAAGGCTGGGAAATATTGCACAGAGGTATAAGTGCTTTTCTGGCAAGTGCAAGGTCCTGAGTTCAATTCCTGGTACCAACAAAAAAGGAGGGGGGATCATATCAAAAGTCTACTTCACAGCAAAAAAAAAAAAAAAAAACAGAGTGAAAGGACAACCTATAGTTGGAAAAAAAATTGGCAGTTACTCTTCAGAGGGCTAATATCTAGACTACATAAAGAACTAAACAGACCTCTCAAAATAAAAAAAAATTAAAATGGGTGAGTTAAATGAACAGAAGTTTCAAAGAAGAAGTACAAATGGCTAATAAATATATGAATAAGTGTTCAACATCACTAACCACTAGAGAAATTCAAATAAAACAACACTGAGATCCCATCTTACTCCAGGAAGAATGACCATCATTGAAAAAATCAAATAATAGCAAATGCTCAGGAGACTGTGGGGAAAAGGCACTCTTCTATATTGTTGGTCGGAAAGTAAACCAGTACAATCACTATGGAAATTTGCATGAGGATTCCTCAGAAAACTGAAATTAGAAATTCTATTTGACCCAGCTATTCCACTTCTATGAATTTTCCTGAGTTAAAGACATTGTAGTACAGTGTTCAATACATACCCATGTCCATAGCAGCACAATTTATAACAGCTAAATCTTGGGAGCAGCCTTGTAACCATCAAATGATGCATGGATAAAGAAAATGAGGTATTTACACACAGTGGAGCACCCCTTTCCCATAAAAATAAACCTGAGTCACTAGTAGGAAAATGGATGCACCTTGAGACCATAGTGTTAAGTGAAGACAGATACTCAAGCTTCAAGATTGCAGTTTCTCTTATATGAGCTCAAATTATAAATAAGGAGCAAAATAAAATAACTGGATGTCTCTGAATCGAAGCTGGCAGTTTACTGAAGCTGTTGGTTTCAAGCGGGAGCCTAAAGTCATATGTTTCTATGGTCTTTTGGCCACTTCAGAACTTTAGAAATGTAATGGTCAGTTTGTTAGAAAGAAGCAACCCCCAAACACAGTGGTCCCACCCTTGGGGCCAGAAGAGAAGCCACACCCCTGGGTTAGCAGTGGTCAGGGGAACATTGATGTGCAGCTGCCCTGCGTCTCTCAGCCACCCCAGGAACCTCAGATCGGAGGAACCCAGGTGTCTGGCCCAATCTCCTGCCCTGAGGGACAGGCAGACACTTCAGGAAATACCTGGGACTCAGCAACTGGTTGATTTGGAGGAACACAGGAAAATGTCAAGACAAAGGAACAGGGTGCAATCTCAGACCTCCAGCCCACCCCGAACAAGCCCAGGAGACACCAAAGAAATTGGAAGTCACACACCTGGAATTTCTGAAATGATGGCAGCTGAAGTAAAGAGACTGTTTAATGTTTATATTGTTTAATTGGTTTTGCACGTCTGTATCTCACCCAGCACAAGTCTGGGAGACACAGACATAAAGGAAATTGGAAGCCATACACCTGAAAATTTGGAGATGATGGCAACTGAAGTAAAGGAACAACTTAGGGTGTGTGCTGTTTGGCTGGCTTTGTGTGCCTGTGTCTGGTGGTCTGAGATCTATTTAGAGGATAACAATGTGCATTACAGAAATTGTGGCTGATTTCCAACTGTCTTGTTTTTGACAATATCATTCCCATTGTTTTGTCTTATTCCCTTTAAAATAAAAAAGATAACTGGAAGCAGGGAGCACCCCTGATCTCTAGTAACTCTCTTAGCACTGATGGTCAAAGTCTCGTGAGGCACTGCTGACTTCAGTTTCCCAATCCTAGATGGAGAAAAGACCTCTCAGTCAAACTGTCCATCCCCGGGGACTCTGGGAGAACATGGCGGACAGACAACAGCAACTACCGGAGGCTCTCTGAAAGGCTCGGCTCAGAGGCCAGGAATGATGCGGACTAAGGAGACACGAACCAGTAGATATATGCTCTGCTGACTCAGGAACGAACTGGGCTGAGAGAAACCAACTTAGAATACAGTCCTGGCGCTAAAATAGGAACAGAAAAGACTTGGTGTAGAGGCTCGACCCCGCGCCATTGGAAACCGCGATTTGGGTTTCCCGCCGCCCGGCGGCTGGCTGCCTCCACAAGCGGCTCGGCAAGGAGAGACGCGCAGAACTCTGGGAACGGGAGTCTGCGAACGGAGTCGAAAACAGGACGGACAAGGAGGCGTACATGAAAACTGACTGGTGGCGAGGTGAGTGAGAAACTGACCCCCTACCACAGTTTGACTCCAGCGGAGGACTTTCTGGGCTCAGGCAGTCCTGTAAGAGCAGGGCGCGGTGGCAACTCCAGCCACACATTCCCCTCTCAGACGGGATTGGTGAAAAGTGCCTGGCCTGAGTGACGCTGCTGGCGGACTCCCTAGGCTGGCCTAACCCAGATCCCAGAGCCTGACGGTGGCCCGGAGGAGCGACTGACTCCCGCGTAGGCTGCCTCCTCCGCGACTCCCTGGTGCGCAGCGGTGGGCGGGAACACCTAGCCAGCGCAATTTGATCAGGCTGTGGCTGACAGGCAGGGAAGCCGGGCCTCCTATGTAAGCTTGCATTTTATAAGGAACAGAAAATATGGGGAAGGGAAGCAACAAAAAAGGCTCCTCGGCCCCCAATCCTGAGAAACAGGCAACAGTGGACACCGCACCAATATACATTAAGCGCCATATAGAAAGCCTCATAGACCAATTCAGGAATGAAGTTATCAACGACCTGAAGCTAGAAGTATGCAGAATAGTTAGAGAAATGCTAAGCACCATCCAGGAAAAAACAGATGGTGGAATGGAAGAACAGAAAAAGAGGGGAGAATTGCTTGATGGAGAAAACAGAGAAAGCATTGAGTATGTGAAGCAGGTTCAAAGGGACTATCAAGAAATTAAGAAGTCTATCCAAGACTGGCATAACAGCTTGAAAGAAACTAAGGACAGACTATCTGAACTGGAGGGCAGACTTGAAATATGGGAGAATGAAATGAAAAACTTCTTAAAAATAACAAAGAAATAAACAGCAATAATACAAAGACAAGAAGATGATAAGAGGAGCCATAACTTAAGGATTAAGAACATAAAAGAAGAAGTAGGGACACAAACAAGTGAACTACAAAAGCTACTCACAGAAATAATCCAGGAGAATTTTCCTAATTTAGCAAAAGGTAAAGATACTCAGATGTATGAGGCATACAGGACCCCAGCTACCTACAACCCTAACAGAGAAACACCCAGGCATATAATAATAAAAATTCCAGAAATTCAATACAAGAACAAAATATTAAAAGCTGTAAGAGACAAGAAACAGATCACTTACAAGGGAACACCCATCAGAATTACAGCAGATTTCTCTTCACAAACCATCAAATCACGAAGAGCATGGGGGGAAATAATTCAAGCTTTGAAAGATAATAATCTCCAGCCAAGATTGAGATATCCTGCACAACTGTCCCTGGAAATTGATGGAAAAACGAGGTGCTTCCAGGATAAAGAGGAACTGGGGGAATTTGCAACCACCAATTCAACCCTACAGAAAGTATTGCAGGATATTCTAAAAAAAGAAAAATACAAAGAACCCAGAAATAGTGGCGGGGAGGCCACAACGAATGGAGCAGAGAACAAAATGAAGAAGACAAACTGACAGCTACTGATAGAAAAAGAGCTCAACAGAAATGAGACAGAGAAGATTGGATGATAGGAACAGCTATTTTGGAGAAAATGACATCTTAATAGGTAATGCTGATTTAGTACCATCTTGTTTTGAAGTCTCATCTAGCTTTTGTTCTTCTGTCTCCAATGGTCTAAACAGGTTGTATCTTATTGGATTTTGTTATGTACGATAGTATAAGCAAAAACCTTTTAAAGACAAGAAGATTATACAGAGACCATTGTTCATTTTCTGTTAGTCGATTCTAAATACTCTATAATGCTGTCATTCTCTTAAATGGTTTTACATTGTTTTGATATACTTAATGCTACAGTATATTAAGTTGTACTCAAGGACTTCAGGGAGGGAGTCAATATGGTAACTACTTTTGGGTTGGAAATATCTGGTGGTGAAACACTATTCTGCTTAAATGGTTATGTTTTGATCTGCCCTGTTTCGCTATTATGCCCTCTTTTTTCTCAATCTCCACTCCATTATTTACTTTTTTATTTTTATCCATTTAATTAAAGGGAAAAATATAGCAGGATATAATATAGTAACCCACTTTGACTTTCTATTATCTCGATTTGAAGCCCTGTATTACTCTCACCATCTTGTTTTTGACTGAGGTTCCTCTATTCTGTTTTGCTGGATAGTATCAGGTTCGAAAGTTTAGGCATCAGCTGAGAAGATAATGAGATTCATTATAACGCCCATTCTCGTTGACTTTTATCTACTTTTGAAGACCTACAATATCTCCAATGTTTTGGTTTTGTCGGTTTTATTCTTTACTGTTTTGTTCAATTGTATTACAACTAATGATATAGGCAATTCTATTAGAAATAGCGGGAGGCATTATGGTAACCATTGTTGATCACCTTGTATTATGTTTTTATATTATCTATTATATCCACCCTTTTGACTTGACCGATTCTGTTCTGTTATGTCACATTTGGTTTTACTCTCTTCCAAAAAAGCAATTAAGAACTGTGGGAGCAATGAAACCCAAAATGTGTAATAGTCACTGTACAAAAGAGAGGAAAAGAAAGTGCTCTAAACTATATAACTGCATGTATATTTAAATGTATAAGATAGAAAATGATATCACAGAGTTTTATTGGATCATTGAACAGAACTGTTTGCAGTATCATTGTTGGAATGTCCACTCTACAAGCTTTAATTTTGTGACTTGAACAATTATTTCTAAGATGGCAATATGTAATCCATTAACTAGTGATTTCCTACTGCGCATTTTTTCTTCTGTAAATCTGTATAACTTGTACCCCTTCACTGTTTTTTTTTCTTTCTTTTCTTTTCTCCTTAAATAAAAAAAAAAACTGTCCATCCCCTTAATACAGTCAGCTTAATGCAGTCATACCTGGGATGGGGTGAACCAGGAAGGAGGCTACGCTCCTCTCTGTGAGCCATTTGGACTCAACAGTTTTTGGCTTTATGATATAAGGAACTGGACACATTCCTCAGTAGAGGTAATATTCCTTCTCCTACAACATTCAGGTGAGGAGACACAACTTTATTGAAAGCAGGAGGGGTGAACCTATGGCACTTGAGGTGCACCAGCTACACAGAGCCCTCCCCGTTGGCACTCCTCAGACAGGATTTGACAAATCATCAGAATGCTTACCACAACGATCATGTCAATTGTGGGAAACCATATCAAAAGCTGTTTGTAGCATTGAAAGTCCTATTGTATTAAGAAAAAATATCTTAATCTAGGAGTTGTTTTTTGTAAACTAAAACCTCAGTGCTCAGGTTTAATTGCGGTGTTGGCACTCTGCAATGAAAAAGTGGATTTTGGGTTGCATTGTGGTTGCACTTGGCCCCTAAAAGATTTGCCATCCCTAACATAAAGCCTTTGACACCTGCAATCCCAGCACTCAGGAAGGCGAGGTAGGAAGATCACAATGAGTTCAAGGCTAGCCAGGGCTTACATATGAGTTTAAGTTCAGCTTGAAAATCAATAATAAATTAAGCCTTTCAGAATCCTATGGACTCTCACATTCGTTTTTTTTTTTCTTTTCGGTCTCACATCGCATTCCAATTCTGTGGGTCCCACAGTTTCAGTTCCTTGCCCAGCCCGTTCCGTGCTGCGCCAGCTCATTCAAGCCGGTCATTTCCGCTGCTGGTGGATGCCCACGAGACTGTCCAGGCCATGGGTTCCCTCACAAACGCGCCGGCTCCCGTGGGTTGCGTCTCCTGCTGCCGCCGCCTTGTGCCTTTGGGAGCAGAGCCCGCTTGGCCTCAGGCTGTGCGTCTCCTGCCGCCGCTGCCCTGCCCCTCCGCGGAGCCGGACGCGAGCTGCAGCTGCCATCCGTCAGTGGCACCAGGCGTCACTTCTTGGCCACCACTACAGGCCTCCAA